TGGAACCTCCTTATCCTCCTCCATGTCAAGGACCACAAAATCAGCCGGGAAGATAAACCCCTTGACTTTCACCAATACGTCTTCCACAATCCCCTTCGGATAAGACAAAGATCTATCCGCCATTTGCAACGCAATCGTCTTGGGCCTAATCGTCCCAATCTCCAACCTCTTGAAAATTGATAGTGGCATGAGATTGATGCTTGCTCCCAAGTTGCACAACACCTTCCCGAACCGCTTTCCTCCTATAACTCATGCTATGGTGAAGCTCCTGGGATCCTTGCGTTTGAAAGGCATCTTCTTTTGGATCATAGCACTACACTCCTCCGTCAAATTCACCTTCTCATACGCTTTGAGCTTCTTCTTCCTAGATACCATGTCCTTCAAGAACTTGGCATATTTGGGCATCTCCTGCAATGCATCAACAAGAGGAATATTTATTTGAACTTTAGTAAATATTTCACGAAATTTGGCATATTGTTCGTCAATTTTTTTCTTTGCAAAACGTTGAGGAAAAGGTAAAGGAATATTAGGAGTAGAAGTGTTAGAAGTAGATTTTGGCTTCTCAGCCCCTGTAATTGTCGATCTTGGGGGCTTCACTACTACTTCCTCAACTTCTTCCTCTTCCTTGCTTTCCTCAGGCTCGACTTTTTCTGGCTCATTAGTTGGCATCCTCGGTCCCTCATACTCCAAGCCACTCCTTAGACGGATGACTTTGCATTGTTCCTTCAGATTCACCTCTGTGTTGCTCGGAAATTGTCCTCTCTGCTGTAGACTTCCAACTGCTGTGGCCAACTGCCCAATTTGTTGTTCAATTGACTTCATTTGCTTCTCTAAGGTAGAGTGCTTAGCCTGAGATTCGCCCATGAATTGTTGCATTTGAGTCATGAACGAGGCGAACATATCTTCAATTGTCGGCTTCTTCGGCTCATTGATGACCTCGTTGGTCACCGAAAATCAGGGAGGTGGTTGTAGAGCATTATTCGGATTTGCATATGATAAACTGGGGTGATTCCAGTTGCCTTGGTAATAAGTGTTCCCCGCTTGAGGTCCTCGAAAAGTTCCAAAATTCTGATTATTCACATAATTCACGTCCTCGACCGGTTCCCCAACTCCTAAGCTCTCAGCCTTTCCCCCTTGCATGTTGTTTATCACCAATGCTGCTATTTGAGCCGCCATCGAAGCGGCTGAGTCCGCCTCATTCGTAGCCGCCACTCTCTTGAGCATAGTCCTCTCAACCGGCCACTGATAGCTATTCGATGCCATCTCCTCAAGAATTCGCTTCGCGTCGTTCGGTCGCCTTCCCAAAAGGGCACCTCCAGCTGAGGCGTCCACCATAGCCTTCATCGGGCCACTCAATCCATTATAGAAATATCAAATTTGGTGCTCCTCCGAAAATCCATGCTGTGGGCACGTCCGAAGGAGTTGCGTGTAACGCTCCCAGGCCTCGTATAAAGGCTCGCCATCTTGTTTCTTGAATTGAGTGATCTCCGTCTGAAGTCTCAACATCTTACTCGGTGGGAAGAACTTCAAGAGAAATTTCTGACGCATCTCATCTCATGTTGTCACTGTCCCGGCCGCAAGAGAATTGTACCACACCTTGGCTTTATCTCTAAGAAAGAAAGAGAAAAGTCTAAGCCGGATAGCGTCCTCAGGGACTCCATTGTACTTCACTGTACCACATATCTCTAGAAATTGCGCCAGATGCGCATTCAGGTCCTCGATTGCAGCTCCCCCAAACTGCTCTTGCTGCACCATTCGAATCAAGGACGGGCTCAACTCAAAAGTATTAGCCGCAATTCTCGGCCCGTGACCTCCTCCGTATACTTGATCAGCATGAGGTTGGAAGATGTTTCGAACCGGTGTTCCTGTCTCTTGTTGAGCCTGCTGCGCAGCTAATTGGCGTTGTAGCTCCGCCATTTGTGCCTCGAGCTGTCTATACCTCTCTTCACCTTGTTCCTCCATTGCACCTCTCAGTCGTTGTTGTAGTCTCCGATTTGCGTTGTTCTTTCGACAACTAGCTTCAATCTCGGGGTCAAATTTCAGGGGTGAATTCCCACTAGACCTCGTAATCATGCACGTGCCTGTCAAAACACACAAACCAAAAAGGATGCAATTAAGTACCAAAGTATTAAATAAAAATAAAAATGACTAAAGTAATATCTACTCGTCTTCTTCTAATATTAATTAATTTTAATAAAACAATCCCCGGCAACGGCGCCAAAAACTTGGTCGCAAAATATTTTCAATACCCGTAAGTGTACGGCGTCGCTGCAGAAAGCGGCGAGCAAGGTCGTATTCCACAAAAACTGTTGTTAAACTAATTAAGTACCAAAATATAGACGATTAAATATTATCTAGACTAATGTAAATTCGATTGGAGTTTTTATTCTAAACTAATGAATGAATGCAAAAATAAATTCTATCACTAATGAAGGCTTGTTCGAAATAAATCAAGAATGAGAAAATAGATTCTAGTCTATGCTTTCCTCGGGTTTATTCTAGCGAAGTTTTCTTATTCATTCAAACCTTATTTAATTCTACCAATCGTAGAGATGATCGCTAAAGTAATTTACACCTTTCTCTCGAACAAGTTAAATCGTAGATATTAATTGTTATCTATCTCCTCTCGGTCTCAAGATGAACAACTAACTCCCATTAGCTCCTAAGATTCTAGTTCCCTCGCAAGATTCTATCAACCTCTCGGTCTGTTAAGTCTCTTACGTTATGAACTTCCCAATTCTAGCAATCAACTATCTCCTCTCGGTCTCAAGCCAATCACAAATATGCATAAATACGGGCCCTATATTCACACAATTTATATAATCACAAGAAATTGATAAACGAAAGATAGACCGGAATGAATAAACAAAATCACTTCATAAAATAATCCGAGTACTCGCAAATCCTAGAATCTCAAAGAGATTTAACTACTTAACATATCCTCAATACTCACAATAAACAAATTCATGAGTTCAATGAAGAAGAAAAAGAGAAAAGAAAGAAGAACTATTGTTGCCGTTTGTTCCCAGATCTTCAATCTTGACTCCCTCGAATCCCTCGTGTGTTTCGTGCTTTCTCTAGGCCTCCAATGGTGTCCAAAATCCCACAACCGTGTTCTTTTTGTTCCTTATATACTGTAGGGCAAATATGGGTCGAAAAAAGGATCAATTCGCGTGGGTTTCCTATTTTCCGCTGGTTTAACTGCGCGTCACACGACTCGTGTCACTCTCCACACGGGTCGTGTGACTTGTCTTCGAATTTTTGCCCCGCTCCCAGACTCACACGGTCAGTCACACGGGAGGTCACACGAGTCGTGTGAGCCCACACGACCCGTGTCATGGGCCACACGACTCGTGTGGTAAAGCCGCACCAAAATTTCACGAGAGGTCGATTTTTTCACCTCACACGACTCGTGTCACTCTCCACACGAGTCGTGTGGCCTGGCTGCACCCTTTTTTCGTCGTTTTTCGTCCCGATTCCATCTTTAACGCTTTTTCAGGCATATTTCCTGCAAAACCAACGACAAATATACCTCCATCATAGATTAATAAATTAAACAAAATGGTGCACAATCCCACGATAAACACGGTCAACCATCACACTATATCACTCATAATGCATGAAAATATGATGAATGTCAGTTGCGTGTGAGCTCGGGTCGCGGGGTGCTCGGGTTCGGTTCGCCGCGTTGAGGTCGCTGGACGGCGGCTCGCCGGAGTTGCGGGGATGGTGGCCGGAATTTGCAGGAAAGTGGATATGGAGTGGTGGATCTTGAACTATGGATAAGGTGAGTGGTAGGTCGAAGATGATGGTGTGGTCTATTTGTACTAGAGCATGTGCTAGGGTTTCTTGTCATCTTGGGCTTTTAAAATCAGGCCTAGGATTAAGTCGACTTGGGCTCGATTATTTAATCTACTCGGCTTGGAAAATTAAAATGTTCGGTCAATTAAATATGACGGCCTTGTAAAAATAAATTCGACTTGGACCGAAAAAATAATGTTGGCTCGATAATTTAAATAATTGGGGCGATTGGCCGGAATTTAAAATGGCGCACTTAATTAGGCCCGAAAATTGGGCTCGTTTGGGTATTAAATAAATTCCCGGCTTTTCTAATACTCGATTAAATTATGAACCGAGACTTAGACTTATTACTATTTTTATCTTATTTCTGAAATAAAAATCCGCATGTCTTCTCCATGGCTTAGACTTAGAAGTTAATAAATTATGCGATTAATAATAATTAAGTACGGCATAATTATGAACTTACTATTCCTGGGAAATAAAATCGAGCTAAATATATAAATCTTGTTCGGGGCTTACATTATATATGGAAGTAGGATAAGTGAGATTTCGTATAAAATTTTTGTTTAAAAATCTCACCAAATCTTATAAAGTCTTAATCAATCTGAGTGTCAATAAATTAAATACATCATGATTTTGTAAGATTTTTGAAAATCTCAATTGAATATCCCAAGATTTTTAAAAATCTCAAACAAATTTAAATTGAATACACCAAAATTTCTAAAATATTAAAAAAATTATTAAAAATCCTAATTGAATACACCTCATCGATATCACACGTCTACAAGTTGTCAACTTGTCATGCACATAAATCCCCCCAAAACCCTTGGAATTTATCAAGCTTCAAATAATGGAATTAAATCGGCATCCAATTTTTAGCATCTCTGCATATATTGAAAACGGCTTTTATGTTGAATCATATGAATGTGTGCGAAGTTCTGCGAATGTTTGCCCCAATAAAAAATATATCGACTTGGACATTTAACTACCTTTCAAATTATAACAGACTTCTACAAAACTTAAATACTAACTACACAGTGCACTCTCAAATTAAAATACTCCAACATAGATCACACCCCATCACAATCTAATTTCATCCACAGGGCCAATTTTTTGTAAAACTGAAAAATTACTTAGCTTGTTAATCACTTAATAGTATTTTTTTTTTTAAAAAAAAAAATGAGCATAACGTGTAAATTTTAAGACAGAGGTTTATATCTGCACAGAACCTTGCACTTGAGCACATTATCCAACACGTAAAAACCCGGCATCACCATAACCTTGACCCGGCCAGGCCCCTCCGATCTCTGCCTCTCGGCAAAAACATCTTCCATATACCTTCCCTCGAAAACCGCATTCTCATCCACCCTCAAAATACCCAACGGCTCCCTAAACGAGAAGGCGAGCAAATGCAACAGCCACACACACTTTGCCGCCACAAAAAACGCCTGGAGCAGCTGCTCTGGCCACGGCCTAGTGCACCTCAACCCCTTGACCACGCCACTCATCTTCTCATCACAAAACTTGCTAAACTCGTCGCTATAGAATTTTGTCCCCTTCCTCAGGACCTCGTCCCAGCTCAAATTCCTCAAGTCCACGAATGACCGGAATCGAGCCTGCCGGTCCTGGGAGGGGTCCAGGTGCCTGGGGGCCCCATTTTTCCGGAACACTCTGTTCTCAAAGTCTTGGTAGATCGACTGGTTGATGAAAGCCTCTATATGGTACGAAACAGCTCTTGAGTATTTAGAGTCGAGGGAGAGGTTGTAAGGTTGAAGGATGGAGTTGAGGTTGTCGATTAGGGCCGGGTCATGGTTATGCTCGATTTGGGCAGTTAGAGTCTTGCAGAATTGCTTCACGGATAGTCTCGACTCGGATACCATCTGTAGGAAGCCTTCGACCATTACTTGCTCGTCCACGGGCAAGATGGGATCTTCTAATGGTCCATCGTTCAGGTTTCGTCTTCTCATGGGTTTTTCATTGGCGGGGTGTAATTTTTTGACCTGCACAAGTTTTTTGTTGTTGTTAGGAATAAATCGAGCATGTTGCAAAGTCATTAGCAAAAATGGAATAATTTTTTAACCTGCACAGCACGTTTCAAGGCCGTCTTAAGCTCTTCGCAATAATTTTCCAAATACTCAAGCTTCCTCTTGAGCTCTCCCAACGACGATTTCATTCCTGCCACTTCACCCAAGGCGGCATCCCGGCTCTCATTCGCCTCGATCAACTCCCTCTTCAAATTTTCAACAGACACAATTCCCAAGTCGTTAAGCATTTGAGAAATTTCATCGGGTGCCTGGGTCCGGGCTGGCGAATTAATCGAGCCCCCGTTCTTGTTCTTCCTCTTTAGCCTCGGAAAGAGCCATGACAAAACTGCGTTCTTGCTTCTCGGTTTTGAGTGGAGGGAGAGGTGGGAGTCGGTCAGTGGCACGATGATGTTGGACTTCTTGATCGCCTTTGTGGGCCCGTCGTGCTCACTGCTAATGGTTGCGGGCCGGCATTTGTTGCACGATGAGATCGATTGGACGTCATCCATGCTGTTCAGCCGGGACCTTGGGTTTTTGTTGCGGGCCGTGGGTTTTTGTTCCCAAGCTTGGCATATGTGGGCATCAAAGCCCGTAATCTTGTGACCGATTGAGAAACTTTCTTCGTCGCCCCAACTCTCGGCGTCTTCCGTGAGGACTTGCTGGTATCCTGGTAATGGTGCTTCATCGGTATAACTCTAGACAATTTGAGATTGTGCAGAAAATTTTTAAATCTTTGCATTGTATCATAAACATGAGCTTATAACAAACATTCCATTAGGAAAAAAGAGCAGAAAAAGAAAGAATGTAATATGCAATAACAAACAAACCAAATTGATACTAAATTCTTTTACCCGGGAAGCGAGGTCGATTGGATTATACTAAGCATTAAATAGAGTTTACATTCAATCATATATAAAAAATTAAAATAAATTATTATCAATTATGAGAACTTTTGTTCTGCATGATATTATATATATTTCGACTGGTCCTCTTTGTATAACATTTATTTATTTATTGGATTGGTCATTTTTATGTTATAGTATAATTGGTTATGGTCCAAATTTTCAAACACTAATTTCAGCTGATTTTTTTTATTTAGTTAAAGTTTATATTATTATATAGTTATTAAATTTAAAAAATAATAATATTTTTTAATAAGATATATATCAAATCGGTAAGATCCAATAATTTTATGCTATTTTCAAACTTTTGTTTTCAGTTAAAGATACAATTATTCATAATTTATAATTAATTTATATTTGATTTATGTTAATTTATATATGATTTATAAGCATATTTTAATTTAGGGATTCTATGAGAATTATAGAATGCTACATTATTTTCTAAAATTTTCGATTTTTAATTGAAAATACAAAATTTCCAAATAAAGTAATAATATTTGACAAAAAAAAAATAATCAGTTTATTTCAGGGGTGGAGCTACACGAGGCCCGAGGGGCCCATGGGCCCCCTGTTTTTTTTTTTTTAAGTCAAAATATGTATATGTATATATATTTATTCATATAAAAAGGAAATCTTATAAAATGTGTATAAATGCAAAAAATATTCACAATATATAAATAATGAAAACTTATTTTCTATACTATTTTAATTTAATGTAAAAATATTAATTATTTATTGAAAAATGAACTACAAGTCTTTATTTTTTAAATTTCTAAATAAGTTTTTGAAAATATTAATAATGATTTACTCTTTCGGTCTTTTAATTGTAAATCGATTTTGTGATTTATAAAACCGAATATTTAATTGGATTGTTAAGTTTTTGAATGTTGCTTTTTTTTTTCTGTAATCACATATTTTTAACTTTATTAATTTGTTCTTAAAAATTGTTCATTTGATAAGCTCTCATCAACAAAAACTTTATGCTATGTGCTGCAAAATTTCAATCTAAATAAATTTTTCAACAAAAAAAAATTATTTTTCCATAAATTATAGGTGTTAACTTAAATTACAAATTCATGAAATCTCATTTAGTTTTATATATTTTTTTAGAATTTTGCGTGTGATACGAATTCTATGTTTTAAAAACTTGATAGTAAATGAGCGTTTCGACTTATATTACAAGCTTATTATTTAACATTAAAACTCGGACCCCTTAAATGAAATTTCTCTATCCGTCACTGGTTTATTTACCGACTTCCTTCTCTTTAATAATATATAGATTTATGGACAATGAGTAAGCAAACCAAAAAAACAAAAAAGAACTACCATAATTAAGTGTTAGAAGAAATAAGTACCAGGTTTTAGTTATCTCAATGATCAGCTATTTCTTTAACTAGTACGTAGTCCGTGCGATACACGGGACAATAATTCTAGATTGTTGAAAGAATATTGATTAGTATAAAAATAGTTTTAAAGATTAATATTATTAATTTTTATTTTATGATATATAATAATTTAATATATGATTATATGTTTATTTCACTTGTTATAAAATACTTGTCATTTTAGAGTATCCATTTATAATTAAGGATAATGAATATTTAACACATTAAAACAATATCAAAAAAATAATACTCATAACTTCTCTTACTCATACCTTATTATAATATATTATTTTGATTTTCAATATGTTATGCTAAAGTTGAAAAATTATGGCAAATATAATAACCAAACACTTGTAGTATTGTGCTAGTTATATCAACAATATTTTTGTTGATTTCTAAATTTATTTTGCATGACGGGTTATCAAAAAAAAAAGAAATTGCAATAATTCGTAATTAATATGAATAATCGAACTATTATAGCGATAACTATTATAAAAAAATTTCAAAATTGATCACTTTATTTATATAAAATTCATGCTCTTAACCGAGCTGCACAATTTACTACAGGTAGGTATAATTTGATTTTCATGTTTTATAAATATTAAAGTAATTTTTACTATATTACTTTTAATAGTAAGTCAACTTATTTAATTACAAAGTCAAAGTTACAGATTTTTCCATCCACCTCTTTCAATATATATAGATAGATTCCACATCAAAACAGATGGAGTTCTTAAAATTTCAAGTTCTTCTTTCCAAATGAGTTTACATACATAAATATGAAATTATCTAAAGTGACATAACTTTCTACAGTTGTGGATGGTCATTAAAAACTATTCTTCAATTTATTCAACTCACCTGGAGATTTGTATATCCCACAATTATTATTCTTTTTTCCTTCAGAATTTTCCAAAGGAAATTTCAAATTTAGTGGAAATAGGAGGAGGAACATCATGAAAGTTCTTGGGATGTTCTAACAAATGAACGAAAAGATATACTAATATACAAGGAGATGCTACGGTACGGAACCATTCCGTCATGGATATGTAACTATCAGATCAACTAACCCCGTCGGTTATATGATGATCTAACGATTATAAACCCCAACGGAATGGTTCCGGTTCCATAATGGGACTGTAACATATACAAAGTAATAAAGCGGTCCAAGCGGAGAACAAAGAGGAAATAAAATTGCCCCAAACGTAAGAAATCAGTTTGTATTATTGCCTTAAAAATCCTTCATCTCGAAGCAATGAAAAATTGATGTGTGAAAAGCCTTTATGATATGGAAAATGTTACGAAACCATTCCATCGTGATTAGTGACCGTTAGATCGTCATTAAACCGTCATGGATAATTGATCTAACGGTTATAAACCTCGACGGAATAGATCACGATAATCCCCAGCTGTAAGCAGCAATCAACTACTTTAAATGAAAAAATTGAATAGGAAGAAAAGGGAATAATACAATAGAATACTTACAGGGGTGAAAACAGGGTAATCCTGAGCAGATAAGTTACGGGCGTGACGAGAAAAAGGGGAAGCGGCGCCTGTGAAGTCCCCCGCCATTAACGCCGCGTGCAGAGCTCTGAGCTCAACCGCCTTCCCAATGGCCGCTTTAATTTCCCGCCGGCTCACCTCGCCCTTCTCCCTTCTCTCCATATCGCTCTGTGTATCCGCCATTAAAACAAAATTACAAAACCTAATGAGCCCACAAACAAAAACAGTTGAAAAAATATATATATATATGTGGTGGATCCAAGAAGAAAACAACAACAAAAAAAGGGTTTTTTGTTTTTGTTTTTGGGGATTAGAAATAAATCAATGGCTGGGTTTGAATTTTGGTGACTCCCGACTCCACTCTGAGAATTATCATGTGTGATGTTTCCTCTTTTCTTTTGGGTGTATATGAGAATGGAATAAAAATGCTCAGACCATATGAAGGAGACACTTGACAGTGCTGTGTCGTGTTTCATAATTTTGTAATTTTAGTTTTGTATTTTCGACTGTCCTAACTTTTTCGTCCTTTTCAAATTGTTTTTTTCGATTTTTGTTCCATGTTTGCAAAAATTACAAAAATGTCCTTTATTGTTTGCAAGAAATGTTTCAATTTCATTTTTTATGCATTGCGAATCTTTTTGTAATCTTTTTGCAAACATAAGGGACGGAAATAAAAAAGTAATTCGAAGAGGACGAAAAGGGTAGTGAAACAACTAGGACTAAAATTGCAATTTACTCACACTTTTTCATGATGTGGGTTTCATTTGATTTTTAATTTTTAGTCGGTTTCACTCAATGCCTCATCACTTTTTCATGATGTGGGTTTCATTTGATTTTTAATTTTTGGTCGGTTCCACTCAATGCGAGTGTTATGTACGTGTAACTCTCTATTATGTCCTACATCATTTCTCTAAATATAAAGGTAATTTCCAAACATGTTAGTAATAATTAGTGTTGGAGGTGAAATTTCAACTAACCCATATATCAAGCTCTTGCTAATAATTGTCAACGAAGCTGTTATATATACATATATTTCGTTTGGAAATTGGTCTTTTTTCTAAAGGTCAAATTAAATTTAAGATGGGTCTTTTTTTTTTTAATTTACACCTGGTCTTGTTCCTAAACTCACTCTATTTATTTATTTTTTTTTAAAAAAAATTAAATATAAATATGTCTTTTAAATCATATCCGCAGAAAATGTTAATGTGGGAATAATGTTCTTTCATAGGCTTTTGAATAATGTTATAATTTTATAATATTATAATTCTATATATTCTTTCACGATTCATTTGGCTAAGGATTTGACTGTTGACAATTTAATATAGGACTCAATGAAAATAAAACCGTCGTCCTCTTTTTCCTTGTACACAGTGACGTTGAAATCATGTTGTCTCTCGCTGCTATGATTATTTTACTAGTGCCAAAAAAATAATTAATAGTCCCATTTTTTTTTATTTTTTTTTTTGGTACAAATTAATAGTCCTAATTAACACTAAGAAAATACGAAAAGAAAGATGTAATTTCTGAAATTCAAGTTAATCAATTCTATTATATGCTACGGTCTCGTTATGGTACCATCATATCGGATGTTTTAATTGTTAGATCTACATGTAGTTAAATAAAATAGATAATCCAACGGTAAAAACACCCACAGAATTATACTGTAACAGGACCGTAGCATTTCCCTCAATCTATCTATAAATAATTGTGGGCTATCGAATTGATGTCTATACGGCTATGCCCAATTTTTTTGATTTTTTTTTATTTAATATGAAACTTAACTGGTATATTTTGTATTAATGAAATATAATAATATTTTTTTAACTATTCTAACATATAACAAATGTTAATATCAGGCGTACGAACTCAGTGGACGCACAGCAGAATTTTAAAAATTTTCTTACCATTAACGATGATCCAGCTGTAGCTATTCGATATGATTCTAGATCGCGTGAATGATCAACGAAAACTTACCGTTGTTCGTCTATGTCATCGACTATGGTATCCACGCAATTCAGTTTGCCGATGCACGATCTAACGCCAATGAATCCCTTCCAGTGAAGAAGCTAGGAATCATCAATTCGGAAAGCTAGAGAGTGTTCTGTCTTTTGTTGATCTATCAATCTCTAAGATTTTTGAGATCTCTCAAAGTCTTTCTTATCTATTCAACGATTATTGATTATGAAGAGATAATGAGGTATTTATATTAGGTCAAACCCAATTATATTGGCCTTAGGATACCTTATAGCCCAATAGGTAATTGGACCTGATCCAATAAAATCCAATTTTACTTAATTAATTATTTTCCATCAAATAGAAAATAATCTCATTACTCATAAATAAATATTACAATCTAATTTATTGCATATTGTGTGACCCTATAGGCCTTCATATATTGACATAAATCTAATTTATAATCCTTAGGAAACTCTCAGACTGCGTCGAATGACGAACTCAAAATATGAAATATGTTTACATGGACAAAGCAAACAAAACTTTAGTGTTGAACTTAATAGTGATACGATCCTTCATTCACGAACCACTCGATTAAGCTTAGAATTTGCATGTGTGTCTATCCAAACAACTTATCATTTTATCTCATATCACTGGTTAATTTTAATTAATTATATTTGAATACCATTTCAAATATAATCACGTACATTGACTAATGACTTTATCAACCCAATATAGAGAAACGAGTGTTCTCCCAAAGTTATATTTGAGGAATGAGTAATCTACCCAACACGAGCCCCTGTCTACCCATAAGGGCGTAAGCGTTGGACTAGGTCTAAATAGACCACTCTATACATGAATTGCGTATTGACCTCAAGTCAAAAGATTTTTATACCATTTCACACACCGATACTCCCATAGACACATAAACAAATGGTTTATCGGTAGGGTATGTCTATGCTCTCCAAAGTATCCATGTATCCATCACGAATAACAATTATCATAGCAGTGAGACATATTATATTCTCCAAGAATATGATGCAGACCACATGTCAATCTATCACGTATCATTAATATCCATTTCTTAATGATCATCGACTGAGGCGATTTGAGAGTTATACTTTATCAATTAACATCTCACTCTGCTAATGTCAATATTAACTCAAGGGAGCAATTAATTAATAAATTGAAAACAATCAAATAATTATTTAATTAATTGCAATACCATAATTATAACCCAATATAATTATAATGTGATCATGTATATATATCCGTAAAATGATTGTCTCTAAGACACATATACCAACAACAAATACTAATAATTAAATCATAAATCCAGACCAAAAAAGTTCATGGAAGTTGGGCACTTATACAAAGTCTTCACAAAACATTTTACGAAACATTTTCTTCGAATTATTCATTTAAAAATTAATACTATTTTTTTATTTTTATCTTACTAAACGATTTTTTTTAAAGAACTAATTAGCTTTAATGGCATAACAAACCTCTTAAAATCATGTAAAATAGTTATTATAATAATTATAATTTTAATATTTTTTACATAATTAATTCATCATTATCATTTAAATTTTTGGAAGTTACATTATTCATTACATTTATTCAATTTATACATTGATGCATATACAAGTAAATAATTTATAATTGTATTATTTTTTTATACTAATGATCGGATTTAAGAAATGTGTAATATTCATTATTTAACTAATAATTTTTAATATAATATTTATAAATATAATTTATAATATTTTATTTGTATTTGGGCATGTAAATAAGATCGATTACTAGTTGTATTTAAATTACAAATGCTTTGTTAGCAGTTGTAATGTCTTATATATAATTTATTAGGGTAATGTATAACTTTGAGAGATAGCTGACTCTTTCTAATAACTGAATTACTGACCCCTTATTACTACTTATCGACTCCCAAAAAGACACCCTTCCTCACAAAGATCCTCTAATCTCTCTCTAATATCTCTTTGTTTTACCTCCGAAAAATTATGAAAAAAATGGCGGGACGACCCTCACGCACCGGTAAGGGATTATTCATTCCACATGTAATTTTTTTACATTATAAATAATTTTCTTTTTAAAAAAAAAATCGATTCTGAAGCGGCGGCTGGCGGCCGCCTTCGAATAGCCGGCCGCCGATCGCGGCCAGGCTATGCATGGACGGCCGACGACCGCGGCTGCAGATTGCACGGGCGCCCTTGACTGTACGGCTGGCCCATCTTCCCCGCGAAGGCTGGACGTCCTGACGGACGTCAGCCTTCATCGGTCGCCGGCCGCGTGCAACCACATTTTTTTGTTTTTATTTTTATTTTTTTTTTCATCGGCCACCGGCGGTTCTTTTTCTACCGGCGGCCGCAGTTTTAATTTTTTCAATTAAAAAATGTTTAGATATTAAATATATATTAGTATATATTAAATATTAATAATTTCATATATATTACTATATATATTATAATTAATGGAAAACAAACCTAATTAACATATCTATATATTAAATTAATATATATAAATTATATATATTAATAGATATTCATATATATTAATATAGATTAATAAAATTAATATATATCTTATATTAATATATATTAATAAGGTTAATATATTATATTATATATTTTAGTAAAAATATAATTACGAGTCTAATATAAGTTGAAAAAATTATATTTAGTTTGTATAATTCTATAATCAATTTTTGAAATAGGTAAATAATTTTTTCCAACTTGTACTATATGTGCTTTTAGGATTTTCATCCTAAAGTATTTTTTGTTGTAAAATGCAACTTGAACTATATATACAATCAATATTTGCGCGCTCGACCACATCTTGACCATACACGTGTCCTTTTTTGCAGATGATCGGACGGTCAAAAAGTAGTCGAGCATGCAAATAATTGGATATATGTAGTTCAGGTTGCATTTTACAACAAAAAATACTTTAGGTTGAAAATCCCAAAAGCACGTATAGTACAGGTTAGAAAAAATTATTTACCCTTTTAAAATCGTAATTACTAGTCTAATATAAGTTAATTTTATATTACTAGTCTAATATATAATAAAAATAATAATCGTAATTATCTTATAACAATTAATAAAATAAATGAATTTAAAAAGGTTGTTTACTAATTATTAGTTTAAATTTTTTATTTAGGATGATGGATCTTTCCGAGAAGCCACCCGTGA